TGGACTATGGTATAAATAAATTCAACTGTATAACATTTTCACTGCAATTCATGTTATAATGTTAGAATTAAAGAACAATAAACATAATACATATTACCGTTGCACTTATCTGTACATAGTAAATGCAGTTATTTTTAAGCGATTGTTGACATCCTATCTAAAACGTGATTTAGCCAAAAAACAAAACAAAACAAAACAACAATAACATTACCACTCTAATATGTCTTGCAATATCTGTGCGTGCAAAGGTTCTGCGCGATCCTCTTGCTCAATATTCTCGGGATCTGAATCCGGCTCAAATTGATATAGCAACATTGACGCCATCCTTAACTAAACCGGAGCAGATGAACTTGCTGCTTTGGCAAGGGGTGGGGCAGTACTGAAACACCATCTAAGCTGTTCGCCAATCACAACGCACTGGGACAGCTAACCAATCACAACACATTTCGTTTTTCGGAAGGTGGGCCTTCATCAAAGCCGGAACTAATCGAGCCGTTTGTGCCAGGATGGGGAGAAAGGTATTGTAATAATGTAAATTATGTGAAAAATCATGCGTTTTCGAACCACCAAGCATGAGAGCATGTTCTAGTACACCCCCAAAAGAAAATCATGACTTTGTAAAACAGCATAATAGGACCCCTTAAAAAAAAAAAAAACATACCGACCCCAAAATTCTGAACAGTAGTGTATACTGTATATGTGATCCACTTGATTAATTCATCAGCACATCACAATGTAATTAATAATATTGACAGCCTTGACATTTTTATTTTTTAAATCTTACTTGATTCATGCAGTGATTACCCAGAATTACATTTTCATGATTCATTATTTTCAACATGTCATGAAAAAACATTAAGGCATTTATCCTCGTCCACATCATGAGATGATGTAATCATGCAAGAACACACACCGACATCATGCTGATACACAGATACGGGTACTGACCTCTCCTATTGCTCTCTTATAGCTCTGAGGGCAGGAAGAGGGAGGAAAAGAGATTGATGATAGGAGAGAGGGATGAGAAGGATAAAGGGAGAGGAGGAAATGTAAGGAACAGAGGTTAGTGTTTAGAGGAGTGCTGAGGAGGGTGTGTTCATTCTATACAAGACAGGTGAATGATTTGGGACTCTATGTGCATGAGTGTGTGTATTTTTTTTACATGCGACTTATGTTTATGTGAATGTATGTGTGTCTGTATCTCACCGCTGGTCTGCTGGGTCTGGATGAGGTTCGGGATTCCCCTGGTTTGTGTCGGCTGTCATGAGAAAGGGTGGGGGAGGAATCCATCTTGGACGAGCCTGAATTAAACCCACAACATTATACACTTTATTTTTAAGATTGTAGGGTTTGTCTGCAACAATTATAAAGGTTCCAAAAGGGGGGTTTCACCATAGAACAACCATTTTGGGTTCTCCAAAGAACCTTTCAGTCAATATTTCTTAAAAGAACCATTATTTTCTTAGTCTGAAGAACATTTTAATAATTTAAAGAACCTTTTTGCACTATAAAAAAAGCTTTTGTGCAATGGAAGGGTTCCATGGATGTTAAAGGTTCTTCGTGGAACCATACGTAGATTTTCAATTCAAGTTTATTGGCAATTCAAGATACCAATAAAGAACCTTTTATTTTTAACAGTGTATCCAAAAAGAATAAACTTTTCCAACTTATTTTATTTCTGAATTAATGTTTTTCAATTGTGAATGTCCCATAATGTCCCCAAATCTTCTCAATGAGTTGATGATATTTTCTTCTATTTATCCACTAATACTCATACAAGTTTTTCCTGTAGTTTCACGTTCATTAAGCAGTCCCACCAGCATTTCACGTACAATTACCTGTAAATATTTTTGTACATAATTACTGAAACTGTGGTCCTGGACTGGTACCCTATGCACAAGGCAATGGCGACACCAGCATAGAAATACTCATAATTCTGCTTTGCTGCAGGACAAGTGAACATGTATTGATTGTGTTTTGGCACTGAATTATGGATTTTGATTAGCCAATATTGCTTTTCCCCCTCTCAGGTAAACATTTTTTAAATGAAGATTTGTGTTGCTTGATTTCACTTCAAATTCCATGACTGCAAAATCACAAAATCCTGGAGGGACTGATTAATACATTATTTAGTACAGTTATTAAGCTGTTGTCCCCACAACATAAGTCATTTCAGGTGGTAAGACTCTTGCAGGGAGATGTGGCTCCACAATGTTGGCAAAACCTGACCTACACAACACTCACTGAGTATGCGGTGTCTCTCTAGAGAGCCGGTCTGTGGCAGGTTGGACATGATGCTGATGCTATCTCCTCTCTCCCAGCGCTCATTGCGACTCAGATCAGGATTACTGACACAGAAAGAACACACAGTGCAGGAGTCAGTGCAGTCATATGATTTGTGCCACAGCTGGATGTGTGTATATGTATGTTACCTTGCTCGAACTGGGTGTCTGATGCCGGAGGAGAGATTTGTGTTCAGTGCAGTGGCTATGGAGGCTGTTCTCTGAGGAATCTAAAAGAGAGAGGGGCGAGAAATTATGGGAAAACTGTACTTTAATGATTGTGATATTAATAATCACTTGATGGAATAAATATGCACCCACTGATTACATTGTCTATTTGCACATGATGTTTTAGTGCCCAAACCGGATGAGTTTTACAAAACCTGTATGAAAGAGAAAAGCATTATTTTGTCTTACTTTAGGAGGTTGCTCAATCTCAGGAAGACGGATCCAGGGTCCCCGGTCGTCCCTCATTGGCCGAGACTGAGGGGCAGGGGTCTCTGAGGTGGGGTCAGAGTTTTGACGGACTAGTTCTCTGGAGTGTAGAGGACGAGGTGTGGGTGTGGGAGAGGGATCCTGGGTGGGGAAGGCGGACATGGTCTTAGTGGGCTGATCGCATAGTGACTGAGAGCGAGGGACAGGAGCGGCGTACGGTTTTAACGGCACCAGGTGGGCCATCTGGAACTACGGCGGATGGGAGGGAGGACGAACGAACAGGAGAGGAGAGGAGATGAGACAGAAAGTAGCATGTCGATGTAAGCCGAAGGAAAGACGGAGGGTGAAATGTTGGCCATTTGGGTAAGGGCAAAGTTTTTTTTATTTGAGAAGTCAGGATGTTTTCACAAAGGGGGTTTAGAAGAGTGTTTTAGAGAGTGGAAATCAGTAAAGCAGTTGTGGAAAAATGGAAACAGAATTGTGTCATGCCAAGAAAGGAAACAGGCCACCGGGGTTGGGCAGCAGAGAAAGGTAGAAGATCCAGCGCAAGATACGCAAGTGAAGAGAAAGTTCCCGAAAATGATGGGAGGATTACAGAGGAAGCAAGTAGGCCCCACAGGAAAGAAAGACAAGAAAAAAGAAAGTCATTGAACAGAGAGAGATAAGAGTTAGCCAGAGCATGCAGCATTAAAGAACAGAAATGATGGCATCCTCCTGCTGATTACTATCCTTTCAAAAGTGTGGGGTCAGTGGGATTTTATTTTTCAATTAATTGATCAAAAGTGACAGTAAAGGCATTTATAATGTTACGAAAAATATTTCAAATAAATCTGTTATTTTGATCATGGTTTCGACAAAAATATTAAGCAGAAGACTGTTTTCGGCATTGATAAGAAATGTCAACTGAACACCAAATCAGCATATTAGAATGATTTTTGAAGGAACAAGGACACTGAAGACTGAAGTCATTTAAATTGTAATAATATTTCACAACTTTACTGTTTTTACTATAATTTTGATCAAATAAATGCAGTCTTGGAGAGCATAAGAGACTTATTTCAAAAACATTAAAAATCTTCCTGACCACAAGCTTTTGAATGGTTGGGTACACGATTCAAAGAGATTAAATTACTGGGGTGGACACTGGACACTTATAAAATGTATTTAGAAATCAACATACTGTTATGTATTTCCTTAACATTAAACATAAGACATTAACTGGAATACAGTTCAGAGCAGCCCATTTTTATTTTGAGTTTCATCAGTCCAACGTAGACTTTGATGCCATTCACATAGACATGCATTTGCTGTAAGTGCTATATTTTATGATTTTTTTTTACATAAAAAAAAAACACTCTGCATACTAGTTGAATTGACAGCCCTAATAATTTTATCACTGTTTTGGAGGTATGACCACTGAGTTTACCGAACTGAGATTTTACTGATCTACAGAGGGAATAAAATGACAAGTTGCACACCTTTCCCTGCCCACCCTGTGGTTCCACAGGTCTCTGCATTGGTGGGGTCTGTGCAGCTCCTGATTGGCTGATTGATTCAGAACGGGACTGGATATTGGTGTCAGAAACTGTAGTGCAGATTTTGGGAGAGCCCTGTCTGTTCAGTTTACTGCGCTCCTCAACCTGATAAACCAAACATAAGAGTTTATATTCTGACAGTTCAATTCAGAGAGCTACTGTCCTCAGCAGGTTGCAAGTGTACCTCTCTAGCCCAGGCCGGTTTGTTGTTCTCTAGGTTCTTGCTGTAGTGGTACATCTGTGGTTTCTTGTCTTGTTGCTGCTGCTGCTGCAGTGAGACGAGGTATGCGTGCTCCTGCTGCAGCTGTCTCTGAAGTCTCTCTGACTGTCTCTGCTCCTCCAGCTGTTTACGTTTATACTCCTACATACACGAACAAACAATTAATAATGGATTAACTAGCAAAATGTGACTACTGGAATTGCAGGCACGAAAAAACTATTAACATATAACACTAACAGCACACGGTCACATGCACAAATACCCACACACACAAACATAAATGTAAAACATATGCCCCTTCACTATATTCAAATGAAATAATTATGAATTAATGAATAATTACACACAGAAACTTAATTATTTGAGTTTTACATTATTTTGAGATCATGGATAACATTTATGAAGATTTTGACAAGGTACAAAGTGTTTAGAGTTCAACTGAACAAAGAAAGAAAAACATTTCCTTAGCTGTACAATTCTTTCCTCAAACATTTAGAGCAACTGAACAATCTGAAAAATAGACGTAGTGTATTGGGTACATAGTAATGTAATTATTGTGTGTGACTATGTTGGTGCATTTTGATATGTAGTCCTTATCCCCAATTAAACTCTACATTTAAAATGAAACTAATCCAAGCAATATAAACGATCAAATCAACCCTTTATGAAACATTGACTAAAACACACACAGGGGTTTGACACATAAGTTTGATGAGTCTCACTTTAGTAAAGGTTCTTCAACAGGGGTCTAAATCAGGTTTATACTTCTCCAGGACCCAAAAACCCCCTCAGACCCCAGACAGTTAAACCTGTTGTGTTTTAAAATAATAAAAATAAAAAACCTTTCAAAAGTTTGGGGTCAGTAGGTTTTTATACTTTAAGCAAAAATGCATTCGACTGATCAAAAATGAAAATAAAGACATTTATAATGTCACAAAAGACTTCTATTAAAAAAAATAATTCTGTTCTTTTGAACTTTCTATTCATTAAAGAATCCTATATTATGTGTCAATAAAAATGTTTCTTGAGCAGCAGATCAGCATTAGAATGATTTCTGAAGGATCATGTGACTCTGAAGACTGGAGTGATGGCTGCTGAAAATTCAGCTTTGACATCACAAGAATAAATTATATTTTTACATATTTTCAAATAGAAAACAGTTACTTTAAAGGGCTGGTTCACTCTTTTTTTTCTAGGCTTGATTGTGTTTATGGGGTGCAGTCTAACGTGTTAATTCTTAGTTTTTAAAAAAAGACAATTTTTCACATAATTTACCTTTATTCCACACCTCTCTGTCCCTTCTCTGAAAAACGCACTGATCAGTTCCTGCTTTCATGAAGCCCCTCCCTCAGAAATAGGCGATGGGCTCTGATTGGTTAGCTAGCCCAGTGTGTTGTGATTGGCTAAACCGTCTCTAGTGCGCATCTAAACGTCCCGCCCCTCAACCCAGCGGCATGTGCTCCGGTTGTATTGTAAACAATGGCGTCGTCTATATTGCTTATCAGTTTGAGTCCGATTGAGAAGCAGAGGATATTATTGAAGAGGATTGTGCAGAACCTGTGCAAGCAACGGCTTTTAATGGTAGGCCAATGTTTTTTGTTTGTTGTTGTCTCATACTTTTAGATACGCTGTTATTTGTAAATGCTACTGCTTCTGTTAGCTTTTAATATACAGTTTTATCCTGATTAAAGCTTTAAAGGGGTCATATGATGCCCCCTTTAAGAAAGGAATTTTTCCTTTCTCTTTGGAGTGTTACAAGCTCTTGGTGCATAAAGAAGATCTGTAAAGTTGCAAAGACTAAAGTCTCAAATCCAAAGAGATATTCTTTATAAAAGTTAAGAGTCAACCACGCTTACCTAAAACGCCTCGTTCTAACACGCCCCCACATGTCTACGTCACGATGTGGGAAGATTTGCATAACGCCGCCCAAATGTTCATGCAAAGAAAGAAGGC